GCTCTTCTTTCCTCTACGATATCCTCCCAATAAGCAAATGTCTTTTTATATTGTTTCATGGTTCCTTTTCTTATTCCTTGAAGATCAAATCTCTCAAATATTGGGAAAAAAGAACCCAAGTCTTTTATAATCCCTCCATACTCAATGATTTTATGTAGCGACTCTTTTARCCCATCAYGACTGCCMCGTTCATCTTTCAAATCAAGGAAATCTCTTGCAAAGATRATGGAACTCAAWGTGTTGAACAATGTAGTAAAAACTACATCCTCCACGTTGATCACTTGTCCTTGCTTTCCATGCAAGAAATCCAACAACMSGCCTAATTTTTCATCMCGTAATCYAGAYTGGGATTCTAATGCTTTCGCCGAGAACATCTCGGTTCGGCAAAGGGTTCTTAAGTTTTTCCAGGTGTGATTGCAGTCTGACCAAATGAGGGAGTGAGGTATTAGGGATGYCTGTTGAAATGCAGTAGGCACAACACGTGAGGAAAGAAAACGATCTTGAGTTTTAAGAATTTCCATGGMTGCATCYGGTGAAGAGGCAACCACAAGAAGTTGCTTGCCTAAGCGGAGAGATATAAGAGGGCCGTATTGATTAGCAAATTTGGCAGTAGAGACGTGAGGTCTATCCCCTACCTGATGTAGGTTTCCGATGATTGGCAACCTTGGTGGACCTGGTGGGAGATTCTTTGAGGGTGTTGGTTTGGCTAGTCTGACAACAAGTAAGAGAAAGAAGATCGTTGATAGAACGAAGAGAGGGGCCGAGAGATTATTATGTACGAGAAAACTTGTGATATCCATGAAGAGTGCTTTTGAGAGGTATACGGTTATATGTTGTTTGTGAATGATTTTGAACCTGGATATATAGGGTGTATTTATAGGCTTAATTGACATGCTTCATTTCTAATGCAATTCAAATGAGGATTACGCCGGTCAACTAGTTTTGGCAGTGAAAACGGTGTAAGAAGACTATTAATGCAGTCAATTGTTAGTGATTCACATGGATTACTAAATAATTGTATGCCAATTATGGTCAATTCTAGTTTACAACAATATAAAACACGTCAATCATATCCTGGAAGGTGCTCAAGACTTGTTACAAATATATTATGGGTTTTTGGTGTCATTATTTAATTTTTTATGTGATGGAGGCTTTTTTTCATACAAATTAGCTTCGTCGTTATTTGCATAATGCGTCGTCGTTCCTTTACATCAATAATTATTGTTAATTAATTTGAAAGTGTTATTTTGTTTGAACTAATAATAAATTAAGTATGATGCATAGATATGTACGTATGTATATATGTGTGCATGTGTTATTGGAGTTAGCATCGATTCATTAGTTTCTCATCACTATTGTAATTGTATCAGCAATTTGTCTTTAATGTTATTGAAAACTCCCTATGGGTTTAATTTCTCATCAAATTCGCACGTAAATTTCGTTTCATCATTTGTTTAATTTCATCTTTCGGGTTCAATTTTGTGTCTCGGTTTCCCTTCTTTAATTGGTTCTCCGAAGATATTTTAGTAATATGACATAATTGTAGAGAGAAATGATATTTGGCCACAGAAGTTTAAATAACATGTTACTATACGCAACAACAAACCCTTTTGGCACCTTCAAGGTCGGCCAAGAAAAGAGACTAGATCGTTATTTGAAACCTTTAATGCTTCTATATTCTTTAGTAGTTTTTCCGTCCATTCTTCAATTTACGCTCTTCGAACTTTTACAAGCTATGCATGAAAAACCTAAAGACTAAATTCGAATAGTATGTTTTGTTTGTAGTTTTTATATAGTGTGGGCATTGTTTAGTTTTTCCACCCTCGACATGAAAAATGTGGCGGAGAGCCGAATTCAATCTGACAACTAATATATCTCTTGAATGAACAAATTGTAGGTTTAAAAATCATTGCGTAGATGTGTATATTTTTAGTTAGTTTGTATCTACGTCATTTGGAGTATAAATTAAAGTAAGCATTAAGTGTAATATGTTTCAAACCACAAAAGTGATGCCCGATTGGTTTGAACTTAAGCTCCAAAGGTCAAAAGTGGCCGGAGGTCTTAAGGTTCAAATTGAAGGAGGAATAAAAATCATTTTGTGGTCACGAATATTCAAATGCGGTGACTCCAAACTACCCACAAAGTAGATGATCGTCCTGAGATTAATCGACGCATGACAGGTTGGATATTTAGATTAAAAAAATGTAATATGTTTCAAGAATCAATGTACTATTTCTTTTTAGAAAGTGGGAAGCTCCGCGCCTATTTTTCTAGAAATGTCATAAAATAAGGGTAGGTGTATTTTTAGTCTCTTTTGTATTGTCGTCATTTGGAAAAATATGAGAGCAAAAGAACTTTAGAGTGTCTAATAATTTTCATTTGGTTGCTTTTTTCTTTTTTTTTTTTTTTGTTATGAACATATGAGTTTTGAGGGAATAATTATAAAAATTCGGGTTTGATCTTTAATTAATAAAAACGAGTTAAAAACCTGTTCTTAATGCATTTATTGCACGCCTATAAAACAACTTCCTTCTCTATGTAGTCGAGAGCAATAAGTTAAGAGTGTATATTGAGCGTTTTATTACATACATAGGGGGGCTAGGTTGCAAATTGATTTTCAATTATGAATCGGGGAAGAAAGGAGAGCACGACACGTGTCCCCAGTGTATACATTTAGTATATATAACGAAAGTGAACATTCATGAACTATTCATACTTAATGTGGAAATTGGATACACGTATCACGCTCTCCTTTGTCTCACGTTCACAATTGAAAATCGGTTTGCAATTGAACTTTTTTTCCTCTCTCTCTCTCTCCCCCAATATATATACATATATACATACATACAATCATTTGTTAATCAAGTAAATACTACTTTGTTAACCTATCTAAGGGGCCGTTTACCAAACATTACCCGGTAAGCGCTTACAGCTAAAATTTAGCACTATCATTTACTTATCGGATAAGATTTTAGTTCGTCAAGACAGTTTCGTATGCAACAATTTACTTGGTAAGTGCTTATCATAGTAAGAGTCGTCGCCCTCACTTACTGAGTAAGATTCTTGGTCCTTGTCTCGCTCTTATCGGATAAGATTCTTGGTCCTTACCATATACATCCGATAAGGTAATATGACTTGATGTTCACTTACCCAAGTAATCCTTTGATAAACAGTCCCCAAGTCTTTCATTTTTTCAATTGACGTTTGTGACTAATGGAAGGCTATAATCTAATAAGAAATGATATAAATTATATTATATTAAATGAAAGACAGTTTTGAAGCAAATTTTTTTTTTATTTTTGAAATAAAATCATATTTTATTTTTGAAAGATAATTATTAATATTTTTAATTTTGGGAAGATATTCATATTTATTTTTGAAAAATATCACTGATAATATTTAAATGATTTTTGTTTAAAAATAAAAGCAGAAACTGAAACAATGATTTTTGTATAAAGTTTATAGGTGAACAGATAATCAAAGTTCATAGGTAAAAGAAAAAGTGAAACAATGATTTTTATCTAAAATTCATAGGTGAAACCAGATAATCAAAGTTCATAGATGAACCAAATATTAAACAATTATTTTTATCTAAAGTTCATAGGTGAAACCATAAAATAAATGGAATAATTAAAAAGTCTGAACATGTTCATAGGTGAAATCAGAAATTTCTTAAGTAAAACAATTAAATGAATTAAATATTTAAGAAATATAATAATTAAATGAATGAAATAATTAAAAAGAATGTAATAATTAAGTAAATGAAATATTTAAGGAATGTGGTATCAATAATAATAATAAAAAAGACATTAATGCCCTAGTTAACAAAATTTGTACTATATATTTGTAATCAAATGCAAACCACTCAATTTGTACAAAACGTGTAAACCACTCTCATTCGTCGATTTCATTGCTTAATCTTATGAATTTTTTTTCATGAAATTGTTTAATCTTGTGAAATTGTTCCATATAGTATTTTTTTTTGATAAAGTTGTTTCATATATGGTTATGAAAATTGTTTCATATAATACTTAATGAAATTTTAATGAAATTGTTTCATGTATTTCTCTAAAATTAAAATAATTAAGATGATAATATTTATGATTAACACTCTCTACAATAAAAATGATTAATCAATCTCTCATAATTACAAAAAAAATGAACAAAATGAAAAATTATGATCGGTTGAATGAGGTTTGTACGGTTTGTATAAATAACGTAGTTTGCAAAGCAAACCTAATATATATATATATATATATATATATACATAGGAGTGATCATATGAAAACTGTATTCATTTGTGTAAACCGTGCAAACCACATTCATCTGTCGATTTCATTGTTTAATC